AAGCAAAGTAGTACAATCCAAGTACAACACATGATATGGATAACAGAAGACTCACCACTACAAAAATATACTGGATGCAAACATAACAAACAAGAAACCAACACATGTACCAGAATGATCAACAAGAAAAACACAGTTGTAGTTCCAGTTATAAAAACAGGACAAAACTCAAAAATACACAACCAAATAACTGACATTCTAGAGAGAATCCAGGCATTCTCATTTACCATCCAAAACAATATCCAAAAAATCATACAAAAAAAAAAGGGTACAAGAATAGACAAAACATAGAATGAAAACAAGAACTCCAAAGAAACCAAGGAAAAAAGAAGATAGAAGTATACAAAGAAATGAAAGTTGGCCTATAAACCAAAAACGAGCTAAAAACAAGAGAAGACAAAATGAAAACATAAAAGTCAATTGAAGTCTATACAGATGGATCTGTAGAGGAAATAGGTACATACAAATGTAAAATAATAATTGGATGGATAGCAATTAACAAAAAAACCAAGAAATAGAATTCTCAACAAAAGTATAAGACTTTTCATTATCCACTAGAGCAGAACTGATAGCAATTCTCAACATACTCAAATGTATATCAGCTAAGGCAAAAATCAACATATATACAGATAGCAAGGCAATGATACAAAATGTAACAAAAGGAAAAAGAGGAAACAAAGCCATAACACATATACCCAACTGGATAACAATTATGCATATTAAAAGAGCCATTAAGAACAGAACAGAAACAACAAATATAATCAAGGGAAAAGCATACACATGAATCACAGAAAATGAAAGAGCAGACAAACTGACCAAAGAAAAAACACAGAAAGGTAAAGAACAGAAAATCAAAATAAGCCAACCCAACAAAAAATATACACTTTAGTATTACTTGAAAAGATACAATCCTAGATACAAACATCAACAGCTTTATTAAAAGACAACAAAGTACATAATGGCTGGCAAGATGGTTAATCCAAAACCGACATATAGCATGGATAGATAGCTAGAAAAAAGAAATAGACTGGAAAGTAACATACGAAGCACAGCAACTGACACCAATTACAAGCAACAAAACAAATAAACAAGACCATACAAGAAGAAATTTTCATTACAGAATACTCAATGAAGAATTTCCAACTCTGAATAAACTAGTAGAGTGAAAACCAGACATATATAAAACAGCAGCATGCTTGAGCTGCAAAGGCAAAGTAGAAACACATCAGTACATAATATATAAACATTGGAAAGAAAACATCACCAATGAATACAACAGAATTGTGAAACAAGAAACTAGTGCCAGGGCAAAAAAAGAGGAACACAAATAAGAACACTACCAGTACCACAAAATCATAGACTTAGAACATATAAGAACATTGATAACAAAAACAGTTTTCAACAAAGAAACAATCAAGTATATCAGAAAAAGAGTAGGACAAAGAGTTACAGAAATATACAGAGCAATTATGATTCAAATGGATAAGAAACTAAAGGAATAGTGGAAAGACAGATGCAAAAGAATAGCAAGATGGGAAGAAGAAAATGACATCACAGTGCAAAAGAATAAGGGAAAGAAAACTAGAAAAAAGGAAACCTAATAGAAGGAAAGAAGACCAGAGGATGAAACTCAATAGAAAAAGAAGTGGTAGCAACAAAATATGCAGAAAAGATGACAAGATGGTACACAAACTACAAGTGAAACGCAGAACAAAACAATTATACATATATACTATTTACTAATACTAATGAAGCCTTGGCACATTGGTTTTTGATATATTTTCTCATTGCACAGCAGTAAGAATAAATCAAATAGCTCAAAGCCAATATTTAATATTCCCGATATAGTCCGATATATAAATAGAAGTAAAGTTATAACATTAATGTATACAAATCTGTAAATAACTAATGTAAATGTTACAAACTAATAAAGTATACCAGGCAAGGCCCAGCTAGTGTTTAAAAAAAATAATAATAAATAAAATAAATAATTGATAAAATAAATAAATAAAATAAAATAAAATAAATAAAATAAAAAACAAGGTTGAGAACTGATTATTCATTTTAGTAATCTTTGTAATATGCGATTATTGTTCTTTAATTTTAAGCCATATTATCAATTGCTATTTCCTTATAATAATATTATATGTAAAATAAATAATAAACAAAACCTTTCAACCATTCCATATAATTAAGTTTTTCTGAAATAAATAGTTATAAATAAAATATATCCAGAAGCCCTTGTAACATGTATGAATTTAATTTCTTTCTTGATATAAAAAAAGATTTTAAGAATTGTAAATTTAATAATTTACAGTTTTATATTTTTAATTGTCTTGTTCATTTTTTATTGTAAAAAATTAAGGTTTAAGTCTGTTGGAATAGCAATATAAATTGTATAGATAGTTGTACTTAAAATGATTAAATAAAAAGCTTGTTTTGTAATAAGGCTATTTCAGTTATTTTGATTTGATATTGTATTAATAAATTTAGTTATTTTCTCTTTAAGCTTGGATCTAATGAAAAAAGAGAATAGTTTGCTAGAAATACAATATAATCTTCTAAATAGCAATTTGTCTTATGAAAGGATTTAACTTGTATATATTCATATTTAATGTACAGAATATGATTTAAAAGTGGTTTTTTGAGCTGATATTGGTAATCAGATTGATTTTTTCTTGTTTTTTATAAAATCAAGTTTGAAAAAGGAATAAAGATGTTTGTGGCAGCTTGGAGAAAGTTGATGAAAGAACTTTATAGTGTGAAATCTCTATGTATGTATGTATTTTGAATTTTGGAGATTGAGACTTGTGACTTGAATAACTATTAGGTTATAGAAGATGTTTCAAAAAAAAGGAGTGAGTGGTTCACTCGATAAATTTCATTGTTGGTGACAAGAGAATCGACAATTTTGTAATGTGAGATTATTTGAAGTTCTCTGTTGTTAAGGAGATTTAAAACCAGCAAAGTAATTTGAGTGGAAGTTTTATTCTTTTCATAGTTGCATCGAGGTTGGCAAGATTAATAGAGCCCATATGTATCAGTGACCTAAAAGTCAATATCAGCGATACTCGGCTGGTGGATGAGTTTAGTATAAAAAAAACCGATACAGTACAATGATACCTAATGGGAATAGCTATTATATTATTCCTAAAATATTTTAAATTAATAATGAAGTACATTTGTTTAGAATTACACGTTAAAATTTCTATATACGAATATATGTCAAGAACGTCTAAATAATTTCGCGCAACTAATGTGGGATGAGAGGCGCAGAGAAACGCATTATCGTATCGCGTTACGTAATTTAATGTGACGAAAAACAAAATAAGGTGTGAAAATAAACAATCGTTAAATAATGATTAATAAAGTTCTATCTTAAATAATAAACTCTTGTCGCGTTACCCGAATACTCAACATACTTGTAACTTTGTTAGTGTGATTGATAGAGAAACCGGAGTTTACGATTTCTAGCAGATTAACGGAAAAAATCAGCTAGAAAGAAGTTATTAAGTATTTAGAACCTGTTGGATCAGAATTAACTCAACCATGCATGACACAAGAAATAACCCGGATATAAAATTTTCGTATCTTATTTCTTAATATAGCACAGAAATTTCATTCCAAATTCATCTGCACAAGTGATGGACGAGTGACTCACAAATTTCGTAAGAATGTCGTATAAGTGAGTAAGGAGACTCCTTTGTCTTTTATTTTTGAAAAAAAAATCTGCCGTGATTCATAATTTCTTGGATGATTATATTTTCATTCACGTATAAGTTTGGCGTTTTTTGATATGATCAATCAAACTAGCCTTTCATATATTCCGCTTATTGTGGAATTTATTGAACTTCTCAGGTTGTAGGATTTGATTTAAAGCTTAAGGCGTGGAGATATTCAGTTCAGGTATTTAATAAACTTAACCACTTTAACATAAAAAATTAGCATACTGTCGTGGGCTAATCGGCGAGTCGGTCGCTAACCCACGCCGCCTGTCGTTTCGTTCAGTAGATTTCCTCTTTCGCTCTTGAGCTTACTTTAATCTCTCTATCGACTAAACTAGAAAATTTATTATGCCAATTACCTTAGGCAATCTTCGGCTCTTCCGCTTAGTCGTGTGGCACTAGTTACAAGTATTTAGTGCGCACTTGAAAACAAGAGTTTACTGTATTTACAACTTTACTTTGTTAAATGGTAGTGTATTCTTAACTAAGCTCGAATCCGTCTACATGCTACTTAATTGCGCATTTATTTATACATTCGCCTATTGTTTACTTGTTTACATCTGATTTCTTGTTCTACGCTATTCTAGAAATCCCCGCCTTTAAATTCTCCCAATCTAATTTCCCATAGTTCCCTCACAATAACACTAATTACGTAACGTGACACATCGCGTTACCGTGATCACCTTTTTGTCCACGACAATAAACATAAGCGTAGCATTCATTTACACATAAAGAAAACAAATATTTTAATTTTAAGCAACTATTCAAATTATTAACAAAATCACTATTTAGAAAATTAAACTATTAATCAAATTACTAATGTAAAAATTAAACAATCACTCAAACTATTACCTAAGTCATTATTGGAGTTAATGATTTAGCTTTACTTATATACTGTACATTTTTTTTTGGTTAACATTTTTATCAAAATAATACAATAAGCTATTTCTGAAAAAGCCGAGATTTATCCCCAAAATAGTGACAGGGTGGCTGTACTCCGTACGGATTTTTACATGTTTGTGCGCGGCTGCATTTGCATTTTTTTTCGAGTGAAATTGGAAATATACTGTATAACTACAGTATTACATTATGGAAATCCAACTCTAAAACAATTCAAGGGCAGCCACACGTATGATGTACAAACTTGTAAAAATCCGTACGGAGGACTGCCACTCTGCCACTTGTTGGTATTTTATTCTTTGATTTCAAGCAGAGATTTATTAAGTATTCAAACTCATTACTATTCTTTCTCCAACATACATACAGCTTTAAAAAATGGAAATCAAAAGGTAAAAAATTTTTTATGATAACCTTTTCTTTCACGGTACTTACCTCATACTGTTCATTTAGAATCAACTATCCATTATTAGAAATTTTATTGATAATTATTTTTGGACAATTTGCCACCGGTGCTCCTATTCTTGAAATTGAAAATTCCACGAAGCTCTCCAACACATATGAAAATAAAGTCAAACTTTCTACAGACTATGATTCTACAATGAGTGAATCTCAAATACGATCAATTGAGCTTCCGTCAATTGAACTTCCATCAATAGAACTTCCGTCAATTAACATTACGTCATTTGATCTTTCATCAATTAAATTTGAAGATGTCAAAATTGTTCTAATCGTTATCGGAATTATTGGAATATTGGTTATTCTATATTGTATGCCTGTCATTATTACCACTATTATTCGTGCGATAGGATTTGGTATTGTAGGAATAGCGAAAGGGAGTTATGCTGCCGCAGTTATGGCTAGTTATGGAGGATATGTCTTCATTAAAAGCCTTTGCGCTGTACTACAGAGTGCTGGTGCTTTAGGGATAGTAAAATTCAAAGAGCTATTTATACTATTGGGTCGAGTCTCGATGATATTTTTACGTACGATATTTTGTTGCTCGCAAAAGTAGAATCATTTGTCAATATAGACACGTACAGTATATAGCATAAAATTACTTTATATATGTTTGAATAGTATAGACTTAACACCAAATTTAAGAAAATAAAATAAAATATACCAGGCAAGGCGCTTCTAGTTGAAATATATAGATATAGTATTAAAAATTTTTTATGACAATATATTTTAATTTTATTATAAAATGTTAAAATAAGCAGAGATCTTCTACCCGAAATAAAAGACATGAGGGTGTTCTCCTTACCTCATGTATGCAACACTCCTACGGCATTCATGCGTCATTTGTGCGTCAACTGTGCAGACGAATTTGTAGTGAAATTTCCGTGCTTATTATGTATATAGGATTTCTCATGATCCGGAAATTTCACACAAATTCGCCTGTGCTGCGCAGGTGACGCACATGTGATGCACAAGTTCTGTAGGTGTGTTGCATACATGAGGTAAGGAGAACACCCCCATGCCTTTTATTTCGGGTAAAAAATCTCTGCTGTTAAAATATAAAAAATTATATTTAAACATTTTTTTATTCTTAATTAACAAATCGTAATGTAAGAATAGATTATTATGTGTCATAACATAATTAGTAAAAAAATTATTCCTTTAAATGCAAAAGAATGTTAATCCGACCAAAAGGAAATAATGGACTTGAATTTTTGAAATCATTATTATTATGACAGAATGGCTTTAATTAGAAAAAAAAAAGTAAACATGTATTAACAAATAATATAGAGGAATCATGAACTAAATTGATCCTATAAAAAAAAATAACAACTTAAATTTGTCCAAAAAAATCTCTTTATTTTTGGCAACGACCATTTATAGTGTTATATTTAGTAACCCGATGACCCAATAGCATTATGAAGTCAGATAAAAAGTCATAGTCACGAAAACTTTGTAAATAAGTATATACAGTAACTATTTCGTTCTCTATTTTAATAAAGAATTTATTAAATTGGTGTTAAGTATATACGCATAAACACATACTGTATAACTATATTTCACAAGCAACAACAAAATATTGTGCGTAAAAATAACATCAAGAGTTTACCAATTAGTATAAACAACCCTTTGAATCCTGATATCCCTAAAACACCAACACTCTGTAGTATAGCGCAAAGACTTCGAACGAAGACATGTCCACTATAACTAGCCATAAGTGCGGCGGCGTAACTCCCTTTCGCTATTCCTGTAACACCGAATCCTATTGCATGAATTATAGCGGTAATAATGGCAGGAATAGTAAACCATAAAATAACCAATATTCCAATAATTCCGATAACGATCAGAACAATATTGACATCTTCAAATTTAAATGATGGGAATTCAAATGACGGAAGTTCAATTGATGGAATTTCAATTGATGGAGGCTCAATCGATGGAAGCTCAATTGATGATAGTTGGTATTCACTTATTGAGGAATCGTGTTCTGTAGAAAGTATAACTTGGTTTTCGCGTGTGTTAGAGAGCTCCATGGAAAGTTCAATTTCAGGAATAGGTGCACCGGTGGTAAATTGGCCAAAAATAACCACAAGGAAAATCGCCAATACTGGATATTTCATTCTAAGTAAACGTTATGAGGTGAGTACTATAAAAGAAAGAAAAAATTATAATAGAAATTACCTTTTGATTTCCGTTTTTTTTTTGAGCTTTATATGTTAAAGAAAGAATATCTATGCGTTTAAATACCTATTTTATATTGTTTTGTCAGAATTTATCGGTTATTTAAGGTCATTTGGATGGTTTTGTTTCCGTTTATGTATAAGTTTTGCGTTTTATGTAGTACGAGGTAATGTATTGCAGTACGCGTACATTTTATGATTTACCAAAATTACTGTATCTTTTCATACCACTTTCTGAAGATACAAATTTTACCTGTGTTATCATGAACGGTTCTCATTGGTCTGCAAAACTGAAGCAAAAGGGTTTTCTTGCAATGAAAATGGTACATATCTAAATTATTATTAACCAATAGCAAGTTGACTAAAATACAGCAATTCATTTTTGTGTTTAACAATTACGCGAACTACAGTAGTAAAATAATATCGTTAATTAATATTATCTAAAGATAATAGAAAAATCAATAAAGTCACGAGGAAAATACAATTTTATAGGACTTTGTTTCTCCTAGCTTCGGTATACATACGGATCGCACAAATTGTCTTTTAAGATCAAACATCTATTTTTTGTTTGGTTTTATAAAAAATCCAACCTGCATTAATAAAACAATCTCAGCGATTATGGTATCATTGACGATTAACTACTGTATCGCTGATATTGTGTCCTTTTTAGCTTATGGCTACGTATAGGGAAAGATCCTGTGCAGGCGAATTTCCGGATCATGAGAACTCCTATATAAATACAAAACATGTGAATTTTTGATGATCATCACATAATCAGATCACGGAACTAATATTCCTTCAATATTTAATAGTTATACTGTAATTGTGTATACATAAATAACTAATGTTTATTAATAAAAGTAAACCAATGTTTGAAATTAAATACGTAGTTTATTAATAAAAAATTGTTTCTTTTTTTATTTAAAATATGTTTAATATATATACAGTATATTTATTTTATTTATAAATTAGGCTATTCTTTGAAAATAATTTTATAAAGTTACATAAATATTTTTTCAATAGGATTTGTTAGATAAGATTTTTTTCTTTTAGAAAATAAAATAATTATTTATTAAATATTAATAAAAATTCTTCTAAAATTAGATAATATTAAAAAACTTTATTTGTTAATGAAATAAAATAATTAATAATTACTTTTAATTCATTACTAATATTATTATTATTATTTTTTTTTTTTAGTAGGTAAACATCATTTCTTTATTTGATTTGTATATTAAAAGTATACATCGTGAAAGAAACAACATCTCTCATTTGTAAATACAGTGAGTTTAATGTTAGCTTGCCTACAGTGAGTTTAATGTTAGCTTGCCTACAGAAACCACATGACTAATATTGAAAATAAAATTTAAAACAATATATCTTGTCAGATAGTATTGAGTGGCTATGTTTACCTACTCAGTGTTGAAAGAAATAAGATTGGAATAGCTTTGGATTAGATTAGTAATACATTTGGAGAAGTTGAAATTGCTTTGAATATAGATGTCTGTAATCAAGGTAGGTAGGTCAATTGTTGTCGTTATTGGCTCTTGTATGGATAGGGATTTTCATGGATTTGATTTTGAAATTGCTTGATTGTCTTTGATTGTGTCTCTGGAGAATTTGTCTTTCTATTTTATATTATTTTGTGGGGAGGTGTTGGTTGTAGCACATCGTGGTTTCCATATGGTATTATATAATTGCATTAGAGCTTCAGTCGATGCTTATATCCACTTGTCAAGATCTAATAGTGAGAAGATACCATCAGTGATACCACATGCTAGCTTTACAACCTGCCATATATGGTTTATCAGTTTTGAGTCACCATTAGGGTGGAGAATTAGGTTTGTTTGTTTTATTACTAATATTATTTTTATCTAAACTAATATATTTAAATATAAATTTTAATATCTATTATATTTATCATTATTTTCATTACTTTCATTATTTTTAATATTATTTCTTTTGAAGTTACTTTATAATTAAAAAAAGTTATTAATTCTTCAATAGATATTTTATAATATTTAAAAAATAAATATAATTTAAATTTAATTAATTACTAAGACATATAAAATGATAAGTATATTTTTTTTTTCCCTCAATCAGGTTGGTGTCGTTTATTTATTAAATCAAAATGAACCATTACAAATATAAATTGTATATATAAATTTCCCTGACCCAGCTCACCCGTCTGTGATCAAAAAGTCTCTAGATGCGATTTATGGGGATGATGTATTGCTCGTCTATTAATTGAAATTAAGATCCTATTTGCTTAATAGAGTCAAAGCCTGCAGATCATCTCTACAGATATAAAATGATAAGTATATTTACACATTAAATTTTATATTTATATATATATTATTATAAGATTCTAAATTACAAGGTTTGTTTTAACTTGAAATTTATTGTAATTAATAAAATATGCTAATAAAATAATTTCTTTTGTGAAACTTTTATTTCAATTGAAAGATAAAAACTTTAATTTGTTTACTGTTTTTTTTAGTTTAATTTATTTTGCTTAAAAATATTTTATTAAAATTGGCAAAAAATTTAATTAAAGTTTATAAATAATTTTCTTTATTATTATAAAATTTATAAAAAATTAATTGTCACAAAGTTTTTTTATGCAATTTTTAAAAAAACAAGATTTTCAAACTTGATTTTTTCTAATTAAAGTTTTTATTTAAATATAAATTTCTAATGGCACTATTTTGATATCAAGTTAATATTGAATTTACAATAGGTTTAATATAATGAAATATAACTCATTTATTAAATTTATTATAAAAAATTGTTATTATGATATTGAATTTATTATAAATTATTATTATTTTTATATTAAATTTATTATAAATCAGTATTATTTTTATATTAAATTTATTAACAAATATTTATATTTTTGTTCAAATAAAATATTTTTACATTAGTTTTCTTATTGATACTTGATATATTTAAAATTTAATTAACTTTTTTTTTTCATGAACAAGCATTAAATGTAAGACTTTATTTAAATATAAAATATTTACTGTTATTATATTAACAATCTTTACAAAATAAATTAATTGTAGCCTATTGCAATTAAATTATTAAAATCAGATACCACTGCAAAAGTAGACTCACAACAATAGTACTGAATAGCTAATGCCTGTTTAGAACAATAAAATTACTGTTGGAGTAAAAATTGATTTGTCAATAAAGAATTTATTAAGTCTAAAATTGTATTGAATATTGTATTATTGTTTATATCAGTGTTTGGTAATTTGGCAGTTGAAGTATTTCTTTTCCATTTTATTTCAGATGATAGTAAAGTAATCACTATAGCAGATTACAGTTTTCAAGCCTTGTATAGAATTTTAAATATATATTTAGAGATATCTTTTTTTTTCTGAAGGAGATTAAATAGATAGTTAAATTTGCAGATAGCTAAATTGAATAGATTGTTATTTGTAAGCTTGAATGTGTTGATGAAATCTGTAACTCTAATAATTTTGGAGTTGAAGTCTAAAATGAGATTTTTAATTTTGATTATCTTTTTATCAATTAATGGTTTGTTGTAAATACAATAAAAGACATATAGCAGATACTTAAGTTACATATTATATCTTGGACACAAGTTATCGAATAAAAACTGGAGTATTGTTTGTGTAATTTACTTCTGTTAAGAAGCTAATTAATCAAAAGTTTCACTTTGAAAGTTGATAGAACTCTGTATTTTGTTTGGTCATATGTCTTTAGTTTGTTATTTGCTTTGATAATAGTTTCTAGTTTCTTAAAAAATAAAAGTTTATATACTGCTGAATAGCTAAAAAAAAATAATAAACAGGTTGATATAGTAGTTTATGAATTTGATGTATATAGTGTTGACGTCTCTCCCAGCGAGTCTGTCGCTAATGGCAGTAGAAACTCGTGTAACGTCAGGTAGGTTTTTGGCTTTCTCTACTTGAGACATGTGATTTTGTTCAGCCGAGTTCTTTACTAATCACTTTTTCTTCTCTTTCCATTGTTCATGCTTCCTTGACGAGTCTTACCACTTTCTCTCTTGTGGTCCCGGTCATCCTATCTCGCGACAAGTACTGGATTAGGTAAGTAATTTATATTTTTACTCTCTTTGGCAACGTTGATCACACGTCCCTAATTAGGAATATTATTTTATTCTTATTTTTTTTGTTGTCGTTGTACCACGTACTACCTCTCTGTTCTTCTATTTATATTGGATGTCACGTCATGCAATCCCTTCTTATACTATTAGAAACTATCGGCTGATAATTAGACTATCTGACTAATAATGGCAATGACTACATTAGACTTTTCCCTAAATTACATCATGTTTAAGTAGGCTATACTAAACTATCAATTACCATATCAGCTATCTAAAATCAGGATATGCAACGCACCAGGTCACATTGCACGACCATACCCCATACCATTTTCCCGCTAACAGTATAGTTTCTAATTTTTTTTTTTTTTTTTTTTTTTTTTTTTTGTATTGCAAGTAAGCTTTACTATGATTTATTAATTGTGCTGTAAACAATATACATTATACATTTCTGTCCACACTTACAATCGTTACAATTAGAATTCACCCACAGGTATACCATCCGGGTGCAGCCTATCTATATATGTATTGCCATCTCAAGTCTTACTGCAATACATTCTATCGATGTAACTAGATGTTCTATTTGACACTGTGTGAAATTAAAAGGAATTTGAAATTTGGAACATTGGGGGTAGTATTTATATTTGCAAATAGAATACTATAATTTAATTTTTCCAGATCTGATCACCTGCAACTGGACACACCGTTTTCTATTTAATTTCCACATCCCTCAAGTTACTCAAAAATGTCCAAGGAACTTACGTCACCAGGCTTATTGCCTATTTAGGTATCCACAAGGTTACCTAACGGTCTTACTGCTGGGCTGCCTTTTCAGGATAAGTAACTG